TTTTTTTTTTAATGTTTATTTTTGAGAGAGAGACAGAGGGTGAGCAGAGGAGGGGCAGAGAGAAAGGGAGACACACAATTCGAAGCAGGCTCCAGGCTCCAAGCTGTCAGCACACAGCCCAATGTGGGACCCGAACTCGTAAACCGCAAGACCGTGACCTGAGCCGAAGTCAGACATTTAACAGACTGAGCCCCCCAGGCACCCTGTGTTATACTCAGGCTTGTCCAAAAAATATTGAAGGTCATCTACATCAAAACATCTTGTTATAAATTGGTGAATTACATAAGAAAAACCAGGGCCGAGCGTTACATAAATTAGGATAAATGACCAGCTATGGTAGCCCCCGCCCCAAATCCACAGAATGTGTGGGCCTTGGCCTTAGATGAAACACTGGTGACCCCCCCGAGAACCAAACTTTCTTACGATGAAGGTCGCATCCCTGACCGGGTCTCACTTTGGCCGCCAGGGAGCTCAGGTCAAGCCCCAAGGTTGTGTCTGCCCCACTGCTCTGTTGTTCTCACACCCCAGCCCACACCCTACCTCCAGTGTCTCCCCCTGTTCCCTCCATGGGATTTGGCACTGAAATTTCGGGGGTAGAATCAGGGGTCGTGGGACCGGAAGCTCATACAGTGTGGGAGTTTTCTTTAAAAGCAGACTGGAGAGAGATTCCAGTTGTGGAAAAACCCGTACATCTGCAACACCGTACCCCCTGGAAAAGACCTGAGTCCAAGAGAGGCCCCCGGGCGTTAGCCTCATGACTTCCTGGGAGACCTGCTCTGACAGATGAGTCCGTGATCGGTCTGCCCCTATGAGGAGGCCACCTGTCCTGTCCCCAGCCACAGGTCAACGAATCTGTTGAATGAGTGAAATAATTGGGATCTGTCAGCAGCCTCCCCAGGGAACCTTCTCCAATGGAATGTTTTCTATGCATCCCCAGGGCTGGGGTTTAAGAAACCTTCTTAAATGAGGTCATGATCTCACAGTCTGTGAGTTTGAGCCCCTTGTGCTGACAGCTCAGAGCCTGGAGCCCGCTTGGGATTCTGTGTCTCCCTCTCTCTCTGCCCCTCCCCTGTGCACCTTCTCTCTCTCTCTCAAAAATAAACATTAAAAAATTTTTTTTTCATTCATCTCGGGAAACCAGAGCCGGGGTCCCACTCTGTCTCAGGGGGTCTTGAGTTGGTCCGTGTGACTCCTTCGGGCGTCCGGGGAAGCCCAGGGACACTTTTCTTAGAATAGTTTTTACAACAAAACACCTAAGATCCCAAAGGAAACCTCGTCTGTTGAAGCAGCATTCGACACATGTTTGAAACGAGTCAATGGGAACATCCACGCGTGTCCGTGACCCCGTCAGCTGCCCGATCTCACGCAGGTCCCACGCGGACTGGGAGTTTGGAGGGGCCTGGAGCAGACGTGACTCGTCGGGGCATCGACCCCCCCAAGGTGTGACGTGAGCATGTCTGATCTCTGCTGGGGACAAACCTTGGGGGCTGCTCATGAGGCGGGGCTTTGTTGACCCGGCGGACGGGGGGGCGGGGCTAACTTCCACCCAGAGGTCAGAGGTCGGGTAGCCGATGCAGAGCTGCTATTGCTCCTCCGCGAGCTGTCGCCCGAGTTTTATCTGCAAGCAGCTCAGGGGGCCTGGAGTGGCGCTCCAGACCCTACAGTTCACCTCCAAGGGCAGGAGGGACTCCAGGCCGCCCTCCCCTGCGGGCTCCCCACACCCCACTCCCTCCATGTATGTGCAGCACGTGCACACCCATGCACGCACATGTGCACGCCCACGTACGTGCATGCACGCACAGGTGCATACACGCGCACACCTATGCGTGTGCGCGCACGCGCGTGCACGTCCACGCACGCGCCCGTACATGTATGCACACACGTGCACGCGCACACGTGCACACCCACGCACATGTATGCGCGCACACGTGCACACCAATGCACTCACCAGCTCTGGGCCAGCGTCTGCTCGGTCCTCCCATCCCCGTCCTACCTGACAGGTGGCAGCGGCTCCAAGAGGTGGGTGTGAGACCGGCTGTGGTCCCTCGGCTCTGAGAATGACGGCCCCGGAACGCTGTCCCAGCTCTGTCCCACTGCGGAGCTCTGGTGGCCGCTGGCCCGAGCATTTGGGGACGGGTCGTGGGACCCACGGCTGGGGGCCTGCACCCCCCGGGGCCTGGCTCAGGGGTTGCCCGTGTGGCACACGTCTGCGGGCTGAGCTGAACGGAAAAGGATCCTTTCGGAGGAGAGACGTCCAGGCCAGAGGGAGCCTTGGATCCTGTTCTTGGGAAACGGAGACCCTGCGGTATTCTTGGCCCCTCGTCTACCATTTCCTTCACGTCGTCCCAGACTTCAGCTCAGAATGCCACTGGCGTTTCTCCAGGGCGTCATTGTAGGCTGGGGCACGCTGCAAACGCAGCGGTCACCTGTGGGGCGCGCAGGGAGCGCGCGCACACGCACACGCACGCACAGCCTCCCAGCCTCACCGGCAGACGGGGACGCGCGACCCAGTGGGGTATGCTCAGCCCGCCGAGCAGTCCCCTTCAGCTGCCGCCGCCGCTGCTGCCGACAGCCAGGACCCCCACGCAGGGCCCGCGCCGGGGGAGGGGGCTGCGCTCGGCTTTCATCGCCGCCCCGTCACGCGGAGGACCCGTGCTCCCAAGGACGCGGGTCCCGCAACTGCACACACTCACAGCGGCCAATATGCTCCCCTCGCCCCCACGGCAGTCCCAGAATCCACCACCCGAGGCCGTGGGAGGCCCCTGATCTTGTGTCCCAAGGGCCAGTCCGGGCTCCCCTGGCCGCCTCTTGGCTGAGGGCGGGGAACGGGGCTGCCCCAGGAGGCCCCACCCCTGCCACAGCTGGCCACTCGTCCACTCCTCCCACTGCTGAAACTCCCCTCCTCTCCGCCTCTCCGTGGCCTCTCCGTGGCCTCTCCGTGGCCTCCCCGGGCACGATGCCCCGCCCTCCTCCAGCCCCGGGCTCCAGATCCCGAGCCCCGCGCTGGGAAAGCTCTCTGGCTTGTCCCCACCGTGGTGTCGGTGACCTTCCCCGGGTCCGAGCTATTCCGTCTTCTCTCTCAGGCACACGCACACCGACAGGCACTTGCGCTCGCATGCACGTGCTTGCTCACACTCGCCCCCCCGCACACACGTGCACACCTGCAGGTTTGCACACACTCGCGTGGCTCTGGGGGGGGGGGTTCGTGCACAGGAGGGTCACACATCCTCCGACCACCTCCCGTCGCCCCCAGAGAGCCCTCCTCCCGTTGCCACCTGAACAAAGGTGTGGAGAAACGGTCGTCCGAGGCATCTGTCCGCATCTGCCGTCGCAGCTCCTGCGGCCACAACCAGTATCACAGGCTGTGGGGCTGAAGCCGCCACCCAGGAGCCCCGGATTCCACTTCCTATGAAGCACCTAGAGCCATCACGCTCATAGGGGCAGAAAGTAGAAAGGTGGTCGCCAGGGGCTTGGGAGGGGAAGTGGGGTGTTGGGAGGAGAGGTGCAGCGTCGCAGAATGGAAAGAGTTCGGCCCATTCACACCGCACAATGTGCGTGCAATGCGCACTTAGGAGGCGTTGTGAAGGGGGCGCCTGGGGGCTGAGGCGGTTAAACATCTGACTCTTGGCGTTGGCTCAGGTCATGATCCCCTGGTTTGTGAGTTCGAGTCCTGCGTCGGGCTCTGCGCTGACAGCCGGGAGCCTGCTTGGGATTCTCTCCCTCTCTCCCTGCCCCTCCCTCCTCCCTCTCTCTTTCTCTCTCTCAAAATAAATAAATAAACATTTGTTAAAAAAAGAAATGGTTATGAAGGAGGAAGAATGATGGATGGAGGTGGAGAGGAGAGGAAGAAAGGAAGGGAGGGAGGAAGGAAGGAAGGAAGAAGGGAGGGAGGGAGGGAAGGAGAAAAGAGGAAAGACCTCCTCCCCTCCCTGCAGCAGTCCCCTTGGGGAGTGTGGAATGCCCCGTGCTGGCTCCTCTGTTGAGGCGCCAGTGGAGAGGAGCATCATTCTAGTGGGGACTGTGGTCCCCGTGCTCCAGGAACGTCCAGCAGTGGAGTGGGCAGTAACCTTGGGGATTCAGTGGAGCCCCAGCCCGGGGTGCACAGGGCACAGACTCAAGCCCCTGACCCCTTGATGCTCTTCTGGGCCCTGGCTCCTGAACACACGGAAGGCCCGTACCTCCTTGTCTCCCGTGGCTGGTGGGGGGCCACACGAGCAGCTCTGGCCAATGCATTGCGTGCAGAAGGGACGTGGGACGCTTCGGTCGGAGCCGGGCCCCTTCTCTGCCAGGTGGAGACTCTCCAGAGCTCGCCTTCCCTCTGCCTGGTGACCGGTCGGATTCCAGATGGGACCGCTCCGGTAGGTGGGGTCCTGGGGGCTGCAGACACGTAGTGTGAATGAAAAGGAGACCTACGTGTGCGTAAACTCCTGAGACTGGGGGATGTTTGTTACCGTGGTGAACCTGGCTCAGTCTGACCGACACACTCCTCTTTCCCGAATCCTCTACAGGAGTGGGGAGAAGGCAGAATGGGGGATATGCTGTTTTATACGTATGTGTAACGCATGCCCTCGTCGGCAGAGCCGGGACCCGGGGTTCTGATCCTGAACGGTCACTAACTTCCTGTGTGATATCGGGCAAGTCCTGTATCCTCAGTTTCCGCATCTGTAGCGAGGACTTTTCAAATGCAAAATTCTGCGACTGGTGATATTTCTTTGCTTGTCCACGCACTATGGACACACGCAGAGCATGGCTATAAGACCGTGAGATCCTAGACACCAGCGTCCCTGATTAAGTAGCCCCACGCAGATGACGGTGCGTCGGGCAGACAAATACTTAACGGGTTTTGACCTGAAAGTGATAATGGCTTCGTAACAAACGGATGGTCTTAACCCCAAGAACGCTCTTCCTCGTTGACTGATGTGTTTGCTTAGAGCTCAGAACTGCTTGAACAGGCTGTAAAAAGCTATAAAAATGTAAAGTCTCATCCACATCGTGGCGAGAAGAATTTCTCGTGCTGACATTTCTCTTTTCACTGCGAGGATTTATGTCAGCCTGGCTTTGGTGGGGGGAGAGGAACATGAGCTAGGATGGCAGGGCTCTTATTTGCAAGGAAGCGAAGCAGATTCTGGCTGGTTGTGGAGAAGCAGTCCATTCAAGGACGCTGGGAGACCCCCAGCGTTGTCGGGACGTGGGAGAGCCAACGTTGACGTAATGCGCCTTCCAGGAGCAGTGCCTCGACACCCCCCCCCCAACACACACCTGATGGGAGAACAGCCGCTCCTGCAGCCACTGCACCGGGACGCCCCCACTGGGATGAGACGCTCCCCCTGCACAGAGATGCTTCCCCTGCACAGAGATGCTCCCATCGCACAGAGATGCTCCCCCTGAACAGAGACGCTCCCCCTGCACAGAGGTGCTCCCACTGCACAGAGATACTCCCCCTGCACAGAGATGCTCCCATCACACAGAGATGCTCCCCCTGCAGAGATGCTCCCCCTACACAGAGATGCTCCCTCTGCACAGAGATGCTCCCCCTGAACAGAGACGTTCTCGCTGCACAGAGATGCTCCCATTGCACAGAGATGCTCCCCCTGAACAGAGACGCTCCCCCTGCACAGAGGTGCTCCCATGACACAGAGATGCTCCCCCTGCAGAGATGCTCCCATGGCACAGAGA